TTTTCTATTCATAGCTTTTTCTAATTTAACAGTAAGAGCATTATCTGCACCAGCATTTAAACTTGTATTGTCAAGAGCTGTATGAGTTTCCATTTGGCTATAAAAATGTTTTTTTTGGAAGATGTTTTTTTTTTCAATTCCAGGTTTTATTATAGGTTTGGTTTACAAATTATCATTGATTTTGTGAACATGCATTTCTTTTCTTTTTTTTACCATCCAATAACTTTTAATTTTAAAAATATTAAAAATGTTATAAACTCTTTTCTGTAATGATATTAATTCTGTTAGTAGCAGTTACTATGCCTCATTCAATGAGTTTTTAACCATTGTTTATTATTAGCGTTATTATATAGAAATATATTACTGCATTGCAGATTTATCATTACTTGATCAAAATCTATTGCTAGTTAAATTTGATATGAGAAAAAACAAGTGTAACAAATTTTTTTTTATGGTTTTATAACAGTTTCTATTATGCAAACAAAAAAAAAAGAAAAAATAGTATATATGAGACTTTCGACATCCATTAAAACATAAAATATACAAAACTAATGTTGATTAATAAAAACAACACCAGCAGCACCAAAACACATTTAAGTTCCTGATAAAAACACAAGCTATACCATATATTCATAAAAATATTAATAAAATTATATTCATAAGATTTAATTTGTAATTATCTTTTTGCAAATTAAATTTTATGTGTAGTACATAATTTTTAATAATTCTTCCTTTTTTAAAGTTTTAAAATTGTTATTTGTTGAATAGAATTTGTTTTGTAAAAACATTTTTTTTTTTTTGTCAATGATGTATTATAAAATTAAAATTTTCTTACTTTAAAAAAAAAAAATGTTACGTTCATATGATGGTTAGTTTATTCATCTGAAAGTATATTGTTTTGCTGTTCCAAACAGCATGCTATAAATAATAGTTTTTTTTTTAGTTAGTACATCTGATTAGTTACTAACACTTTTTTAAATAATTTGTAATTAAAAAAAACAAAAAAAAACTTGCCTAATCAATCATACACAAGTACACACACTGAGCTAGGGTTGCCAGATGCACGGTTGCCTAAAGGAATACATAGGAAAGCCAAAAGGAGGACAAAGGAGGACATACTTATTTTTAGTAATACCTAATAACGGAAGGATTTTAAGACTTTTTTTTTTTGGGTGGGGGAGCTAATGGCTTTTTATGGTGTCATTTTCTCCAGCAAAAGCAACACACTTAGTTTTCAAAATATATTGTGATATAGTTTCAGAGGTTTCATTTGGTGTGTTAGGATACCACCTGCCTTCCAGTCAAAGTATTAAATAACAATCAAAAATATTTTTTGTGAACCGTGATTGCTAGCATCTGTGGAAAGACCACAGCATGAAATGCTAACAAATGATTTCACCAGTTGATCAACAGTGTGGGGGCCTGTTACCTGGTTTATGACTGTCTCAGTTTTTTTTTGAGCATGTGTTATTTTTTGATATTTTCGAATCTTTCAATAATTTGTGCAAACCAGTTGTGCTACATCTTTGAGTTTTTAGATTGAAAAAAGGATGTCAACTTATTCAATGACGCTGATACTTTGATTAAGTTTTTATGTTTCTCACTGTTAACACGGCGCTCTATATCCCTTGCTACTTTGTTAGCGAAGGACAAGTTTCTATCATAAATTGTACACTTTGCCTTATTCTTGTTGCGCCCTTCAGTAAAGCATGAATACTTTGTTTTCATAGTACTTGAAAATTTGCATTTTCTCTTTGTAGAAATCTAATTAATTTTTTATAAAAAAGTCGCAATTCAATTTAAGTGCTGTTGTTGCTATAAGAGAAAAAACTGACATAGGCAAAATGTTTTTTAATTCTTTTGCCATTCTATACTTCTATAGTATAGAAAGGCAAATGAATTATAAAAATTAAAAAATGTATAGATCTTTTCTTTTTTAATTAAAACATTTTTAACTCAGCACATTTTGCCTGTGTCAGTTTTTTCTCTTATAACAACAACAGCACATAAATTAAATTGTTACTTTTTATATAGACTATAGAACAACAATTTCCTATAGACTATAGAACAGCAATAGGAAATGCAAAATGCGCTGAGTTAAAAGTAGAACCTGACGCTTTAGTTAAAGAATAAAACATCAAAAAAAACTTAATACAGTTTTTTATCAAAAAAATTTATACAGTTTTAAGAATAGCTATAATAGTTTAAATGAGGAAAAAAAAATGAGGCTAAAAGAATAGTTTAAATGAGCAAATATATGTAAAAAAAAAAAAAAAAAAATTATATGAAATAATAAAAAAGTTAAAATAATAAAAAAGCTGGACATTTGAAAGTTTTGAGCTTCGCCTGCCGGACAGAGGACAAAATATAAAAGAGGAGGACATTTCCTCTATTTGTTGGATATCTATGCTGGATATATATGTGATACACACATATATATTTTAAATTTATTAATTGCGTTTTCACACTCACATGGTTTAAACAGGTTTCCATATTTTCATTTTCTGATTTAAATGATAATATGGAAAAATTAAATCAATTTTTTACAACTGAGTGTTGTTTTTAACATTAACCTATTTTTCAGGTCAGAATTTTATATTCATTGTGATACTTCTATTAGAAAATTATATTCAAGTCTTGCTTTGTCACACTGAAATAGCCTGCTGCCATGGGCTTCAATACATACATCCACTGACTTAAAGCTTGCTGCCACAAAAGAGTGCCATTACATTGACTAAGGGTTTGGCACGGTGCAAATTTTTTTCCTAGAATAGGTCCTGTATATATATATATATATATATATATATATATATATATATATATATATATATATATATATATATATATATATATATATATATATATATATATATATATATGTATATATATATATACATATATATATATATACATATATATATATATATACATATATATATATATATATATATATATATATATATATATATATATATATATATATATATATATATATATATATATATATACACACATATATATATATATATACAGGGCCTATTCTAGGAAATTTGAAAATAGGAATTGGGGCGGCGGTACCCCCTTGTCTCAACTTTAATTAAGATGGTTTTTAAACAACTTATTTAGATGTCACTTTTAAATGATGTTCGCGGTATTGTAAAAGCACACGATTTGGATACTTTTGACACAATTATTTTAGGACAAGAAGTTGAAGCAATTCAAGTAAGTTAAAGTTTTTATTTGTTTTAATTATAATTCAACACATCAACAAAGTAGATCATCCTGTTATCCATCCATTAGTATGTTTAACAAGGTAGAACATCCTGTATTTAAATTAATTAGATATGGTAACAAGGGTACAATAAGTTGATAGTATAGGAATATAGTCAAGTTTGATTTTTTGAACTTGCATTATGTTTTTATTATTTTTTTTTATTTATTTATTTTTATGTTGTTTTGTACTTGTTTAGATAGAAAATCAGTATTCACTGCAAACATCAAGTAATGAAATCTTATCTACAGAAAATAATGAAAAAGATAAATATAAAGAGATGAATTATGGCATAGACTCTTATGAAAGTCGGTATATTGACAATGAAGATGAGGAGTATGATAATCAGGAACAGCTAGAAAGAAGTTTGTCTTTTGAAAGATATGATGAAGGTGATCAAGTGGAAGAAATCAAGAGTTTATGCGATGAGAAAGTATATTTAACAATGTTTTTTTATTTTAAATTTAATTTTAAACTGTCTATAATGTTTTTATATTAATTAAAAATCTTTAGAATGCAGACATTTTTTTTACCAGTAATTTTATGCTTACAGTTACTTGTTTAAAATATATATAACTTTTATCTATTGAAAACCATATAGGACCAATACCAATAAATCCTACATATATTACTTTTTTCAAGCTTGAAAGTGTCTTTTAAGCTTTACTCTCGAGTGCCGAATACAACAGGGGTGGAATAAACAGGTGGGTGGGAATTTTAGTCAAAATCTAATAAATGGGGGGGGGGGGGGAATAAACGGGGGGGGGGGTAGATTTTTTCTGAAAGATTTTGTTTTTATCGGTGACTGAAAATTTTTTTCAAATTTTTATGGCCGATTTTCACAGAATTTTTTTTTTTACTTTTGAGATATATAATTTTTTTGTTGATAACAAGTAAAAATTAATAAAACAGGGGAAGGTGGGGGGGGGTCTTAACAAGCTTAGGTGTGGGTGGGAAGAATATCCAAAAATTAATAAACAGGGGGGGGGGGACGTTTATTAGGAACTCAAAAGTATATAAAATATAGTTTGTCAAATTTTATTATAATTTAGTGCATTTTTAGCTTTCTAGATGTTTAGAATGCATTATAACTCCCCCATAATGGAACTGATTTAATGGAGATAAATAGATAGCAGAAAATAAAAGAAAAGGTTTTCCAGATTTTTTTGGTGAAATATTTTTCGGATTTTAAAAGTATGAAATGGATGATCTAAGCATTACAAAGCATTACAAAGCAAATGTTTTTCTCTAATAACTTAAAGAATTTTTTTAAATAACTTAAAGAATTTTTTAAAATCTATCTGTTATTTTGGTTTGATTACAAGGACATAGTATACAATATTAGTTTTTTTAAAACCAAAATGGCATCCATATTAATTTTAATATAATCAAAATGGCAACAGAACTTGTAATAGTTAACAATACAATTAACTACAATTTCTGATGCTCTGTTGGCAACTTAACAATGTTTATAGCTAAGTGGCATGAGCACATTATTGTCATAGTTATTTATTTTTTATTTTTTATATATTTAACTCTTCTTATAATTAACTTTAAGGTTCTCATACTCATGATGTTATTCAAACATTTTTGTGTGCCTCTTTTGATTGGTTTAGTTCCAGTTCAAAAACAATTTACATGTTTTAAATATTTTTTAAACTGTTTGTTTGTTTGTCAACAACATGAGTTTATTTTTATAAAAATTTTTTATTTTTAATCTTTTTTTTTTTTTACAGTTAAATGATGAAAAACATTCTCCAGTTTTTTTTCAATCCAATGAAAAACATTCTCCAATTTTTTTTCAATTCAATAAAAAACAACACGATCCAGAAAGTAATAGTTTAGACAGCACAAATAAATTCAAAGAAAGTGACCAGCATAGTTTACTAGAGCATTTTAAAAATAACAGTAACGATCAAGACACAAATAATGATAATTACGAAAAAAATGGTATATTTGAAGGATACTATACTATCAGTAAAAAAAAATATTAAGTCAAGCGATCATTTTTCTTCTTTTCAAACAAACTTTGTATCAAATGATATGTTTAGTGATAAAAGCAAAAAAGAAAAAGAAAATAAAATTGATAAAAATTTAGCTGAAAATTATTTACATAGAGATCAACATCTATGTGATGATCAAATTAAATATGAATCTTTCAATCCAATAGAAATGGTTAAGGATAACTACCCAATAAAAATAAATGACATAGAAAGTGAGAAGTTAAACACTATAGAAAATATACTTCAAAGCTATGATTACGCTGATAATAATATAGCTGTATCTAATTTAGAATTAAATAACCAAGTCATTCAAACAAAGTCTTTCAAAATGCTTACCAAGCCCTTAGCAAAAAATGAAATATTGAATCCTCAACTATCACCGGAAATCAATGAAGATTATTTGTCTCCTTTGCTATCAGCAAATTCTGATAGCTTTTTTTCTTATTTTGCAAGCAAACAAAATGATAACTTAAACAATTTCCAACCAAAGTATTTAAAAAATAATTACTTGCTTCAAGAAAAAACTGAAAAAATTTCTGAAGGTGATAAAAACCTAGAAAATTTTACAAAAATAACCAAAGACCCACAAGCTAACAAAACAGTTTTTAAAACTAGCGAACAATATGCAGGTACTTTACATAGTTTAAACAGTTCACCCACATTTGATGTCACCAGCACAATTGAAAATCGGTATGCTAACTTTTCTGTAAATGACATTTTACGGCAAGATTATTTGCCTGATTCTAAAGTAAAATCTGAAAGTCTGGAACCAAATGAGAGTAGTTATAATGAACCTGACAATAAAAAAACATTTAAACTCAATATCAGAAATCAATACCAATATGAAAATTCAGAGAGTTATCGTATTCACCAATCTGATAGTACCCTGGATTCGATTGCAAATGATCAACTAAAAATGTACGGAAAACCAATCATGAGCAAATCACCTCAGTTCGGTAGCTCGTCAACTTTTTTTAATACAAGTGACAATTCAAGTAAAAAATTAAAAAACACTATTACATCAGTTGACAATATTGTAGTTTCTACTTTTGATAAAAATTTACTAAAAAATAACAAATATATATCTGCAGATTTTGATTTAAGAGCAAAAGAAGTGCCACAAGATTTAGTTGAGGATGTAGCTGGAATAGAACAAGCACACAAAGCTTCCAAGTTGGATGTCATAGCATTGTTACCTCAACATAAGTTTCCAACTGTACCTAAAAAAAAGAATTTTTTATTTAGTTCAAATGAAAGTTTCGTTACAGAATCTATTGTTTCAAAAATTGAAGCTTTTTCAAACAGAAATACGCAAAAACCGGTAAAGTGTATTTTATTTTTAGCTTCTCAAATTATTGATATTACAGTAAAAATTACTGCAATATCAGCTTATCTTGCTTATCTAGTCATACATATTATGTTTATATATATATATATATATATATATATATATATATATATATATATATATATATATATATATATATATATATATTATATATATATATATATATATATATATATATATATATATATATTTATATATATATACATACAAATATATATATATATATATATATATATATATATATATATATATATATATATATTTTATATATATATATATATATATATATATATATATATATATATATATATATATATATATATATATATATTTGTATGTATATATATATATAAATATATATATATATATATATATAGTATGGGGTGTTTTAAATTTTTTTTTTTCAAAATGCGAATACACAAGAAGCCAAATTTAGGACAAATGTAAAAAAATAAAATTGCAAAAAAAAATCCAAATTTATTGACATTTACCTTGTGCTCTAGTGGCAAAAAATGCCCCAAATTATTTCGCTTTGAGTGCAAGGTAAATCTCAATATTTTGTAAAAAAAATTTTCTAATGTCCTCATAATGGTTTAAATTTTTTTTTAGATTGTTGTGTATCCTGGTTTTTTCATAATTATTGTTTCAATTAAAAAAAGAAATCGCAAAATTTATGATAAAAAAAGCTTTTTTTGTGTATTTGCGCAAAACTGTTTTTTGCGTATTTTTTTGCGAAATCTTTTTTTAATTTAAACAACCATTATGAAAAAACCAGGATACACAACAATCTAAATAAAAAATTTAGACCATTATGATTTTATTAGAAAAAAATATTTTTTCTAATGTGATCACATGGTCACGGTGGTCACACAAGGTAAATTTCAAAATATTGTGATTTACCTTGCACTCAAAGTGAAATAATTTGTTGCATTTATATATATATGCATATATGTATATATGTGTATGTATGTATATATATTTGCATATATATATATAATATATATATATATATATATATATATATATATATATATATATATATATATATATATATATATGTATGTATGTATGTATGTATTATATATATATATATATATATATATATATATATATATATATATATATATATATATATATATATATATATATATATATATATTAGCCCTTGGAATTAGGAAAAATAAGGTCGGCAATAATTTGCTGACCTTAATCTGTGTGAGGTCAGCATCAGGTTGGCAAAAATGTAAAACAAAGGTTTGACCATCAAAGTCGGCAATTAGGTTGACATTTAACCAAATGCCAACCCTAATTCTGTGGGTTGATATATATATATATATATATATATATTTTTTTTTTTATTACTAAAGGAACAAGCTACATACGCTGGAAAAATCCAAAAACAGCTGAAGACAAAAATTGTAAATGTTCCTAATGACACAGGAGAGCCAGGGTTTACTGTTAATTCAAAGCATAATGGAAAATATGTTTTTATTTCAAGTGTTGAGGTAAAAAGTTGTTTTATAAAAAAAAAACTGTCATAAGCAAAATTTACCTTTTATAAACCAGTGTTAATTTATAATATTTTAACTATAAATTTATAATATTAATTTATAATATATTTTTTTGAATTTAATATAAAACACGATGCAAATAGACAATTAAATTAAATTAAAATATCATTTAGTTTATAAAAACTTGTATTTAATTTTTTGTTATGTTAGATATAAAAAAAAATTAACTAATCTTGTTATGTGTCTATAGAAAATATGTAATCAATTTTATGGCTTCTATTATGTTTTAATTTTACTATAATATATTTCGTACTGTTTTTAACAGATAATTTTGGTAAAATTTTAAGTGAGGATGATTATATGCAGTCAAAACATGTCTTGTTTTTTTAAAAGTTATATATAAATGTCTTGTAATGATTTTAATATGTAATTTTTTTGATTAATTTTCTTTGTTTTAGTTGAAATTTATTTATTTAATTATTATTTAATGAAATTAATTCACTTTTATTTATTAATTAAAATTAAATGAATTTAATTAAAATTTTATAAATATTAACTAACAATAAACAATAATATAAAAGCTAAATTATCTAATTAAAGAAGTGATTTTAAATAGGATTTAAAAATTGTCCTAATTTTAAAATTGCTTAACTATCATTAATTCGTTATTATTTTATTATTCTCTTTTTTTTTTTTTTTTAATTATTTGTTAACATCATCATTATCAAATTTCAGTCGAAACCAAAGTTATGTTAAGAACAGACTTTGTTACAAATTAAAGGTTTGGGACGTGTCAGGTGTTGCAATTAGGTCTAATAGTTTGCAATATAGTTGGTATTTTACTAGTTTGCACGTCCTGGTTTGCATTTTGTTTTGCAGAGAAGTATGCACCCTTGATTCTAAAATTTTATTTTGCTAATTTACTAAAAATGTTGTCATATCAAGATATTAATCAGTCCCGTAGCAACCGGAGGGGGCAGTAGGGGGCATTTGCCTCTTCCCCCCCCCCCCCCCTCCAATAATTTTTCAAATAAACAATTTTGAAGAAATTGACTGAAAAAATGACTTGGAAAAAAAACAAAAAAAAACTTCCTTATAACTATTTCGGGGTAGTATTGCGGGTCAGGGTAACAACATCAATTTTTGCCATGTCTAAAAACATCTGTTCAACAGCATCTGTAAATATAACGAGGTATGATAACATCTTTTTTTTTTTTTTTTTTTTTTTTAACATCTTCACTTCCAACAAGGCTGCAAGCAACCACTATAAGAGTTGGAAGTTACTGGAAGAGAAAAGACTAAATCTGTAGAGCAAGATAACGATTGACTGATGACTTAAAAGATTGCAAATTATATGAATCAGGAAAGCAAGATGAAGGAAGCAAATTCCAAAGAACTGATGTTTGAGGAAAAAAACTAGAAGAATAAGAGTTTTTGAAGCACTTAGCAACAGTCACAGAAAAAGGATGAGACTTAATTGAATGGCAGGTAACACGAGAATGAATTTTAGTAGATGGCACAAGGGACGCTAGCTCTTTAGAGCAGTGCCCATTATAGTATTTGTAGAAAAGAGAAAGAGAAGCAACATTACGACGATGTGACAAAGGTTGGAGATTGGCTGCCAGAGCAGGTCCAACTATGTTTACAATTCGTTTTTGCACCTTGTCTAAAAGAGAAAGAGCATCATTAGAAGATCCGCCCCAGATGTGGCAACAGTATTCCATACAGGGACGGATTTGAGATTTATAGAGGTAGAGAATAGAATCTGGAGTAAGAAAGTGTCGAGCTCGATAAAGAGATGCAACTTTAGCAGATGCTAATTTTGCAATGGATTTGATATACGGTTTAAAAGAAAGATCAGAAGTAAGAGTTAATCCTAGAAGATGAATGGTAGATGATTCATCTAGTACATTACCGTTCATAAATATAGGAAGATCTAAATTATTATGATAACGATTGGCCGAATAAAATTGAGTTTTATCTGAATTAAAGTTCACCAGCCACTGCGAGCCCCATGCTGTAGCAGAAGTGAGATCCTTTTCAAGCTCAGATACCCCCTCCAAGCAATCAGAGAGTGTAGGCTTCTTATCATGACAAGAGTAAATGGTGACATCTGTCTAACAACATCTGAAATTTTATTGGTGTCTAATAAAATCTGTGAAAAAATTAAATGAATATTACAGATGTAGTTACATCTTTTAAATTATCATAGAGTAATAACATCTGTGCAATTACATCTGTAGATTTTAAGATAAAGTTGTTTTTAAAATGAATTAACTAATAATGCATTATTTTACCCGGATGTTATAGCATATAGAAATTTTTTCAGGTGTAACTACATCTGGAAAAAAAAATTAACTAGTAATGATAATGCATTATTTTAACCAGATGTTATAATAATTATTAATAATAATGCATTACTTTACCCAGATGCAAATTACATATAGAAATTTTTTCAGTTGTCTCTACATCTGAAGAAAATAAAGTCCAGATGTTATTAGACTTGAAGAAAAATTACCAGATGTAATTACATTTTTCTAAAGATGTTGTTAGGGATCGTTGAATTTTCAGATTATATTGGACAGATGTTATTAGAGTTGAAAAAAATACAGATGATCATGAACAAAAGTATTCAGATGATCTTAGACTACTTCACAGATGTAGTAATTTTTTATCAGTACTGCCCCCCCCCCCCCCCCCGTTAATATATTTTTTGTTCCTACGGGTCTATGAATCAACTGTATAGTATTTCAATTTGTTTGTTGATTTTTGTATCAAAATATTAAAAATATTTTTTAAATAGCATTAAATGTATTTACATATATTAATGTACTATATCACTTACATGTATACACTAATATGCACATACTTATAAATATACATGTATGCATAAATAAACAATATATATAAATACATGCATACATACATACATACATACATACATACATACATACATACATACATACATACATACATACATACATACATACATACATACATACATACATACGTACGTACATACATACATACATACATACATACATACATACATACATAAATGTGAGTATAATGTTAAAAAAATAAATGTTTTTTTATATAGAACAAAAATCTAAAAATCCTTTCTGTTGGAGATGTTATCGTGGCCATTGAGGGCAAACCGATTACAGTTGGGATGAAATCTGTGCATGTCAACTTGATGATTAAAAACGCCTTTAAAACTTCCAATCCTAATATAAAACTTACAATAAAGTGTTAAATCATTGCTTGTTTTGTCTTTTTTTACTTGTTGTTTTTTTATGCTGAACAGTTAACATTATATCGTGATTCTCGAAATATACGATAACACATACCAACTAATTTTTAGTTTTTTTTTAAATATGGATCTACTAAGTTTTAGGATATAACAATTTTATTTAGATCACGTGGTGGGTTTATACTTGCAGATGATTATAAGGACTAGTATTTCCAGATAAGAATTTATGATTCTATTTGTCTTTAGTCAAATTTCGAATAAAATTAATTTATTGTTAAATAAATATCCTTTACAACAAAGTCAATGTCATTTTTAAGTACGTAAGCAGCATTTCTCTTGTAGAAAAGACGTTTTGTTTCTTTTTAAGCTTCGTTTCTTTTTAAACTATGAGTCTTATCCGAATCTGCTGAAATATCTTGTTTTTAAACGAATTAAATTCAAAAGGGATTCTCTAAACAAATGTTAAAAACCACTTTTATTATTTAGATACGTTAGAGAAAAGATTTTTATTTTTCTATTGATAAATAGAGTTGAGAAAATTATTAACTAATAACTAAGAATAAAGAACTTGAAAAGATAACGTAAAAAATTGGTAATTTTGGCAACTTTTGAAATAATATCAAAAAGTGTGCAACTGGTTGTTAAATCATAGTTTTGTCTTTAGGGAAATTAGCGAGTTAAAAGTTAGCGACATCTTTTTCCGAAACTTTATTATTAAACCGTGGAAGTATAAAACAGATGGAAGATCAACTGCATTGAAATTCTTCGGGACTATGCTCGTAACCTTTTGTTTCGTAAACAATAAGAAAACGACATCAAGACTATACTTAAACGCTTAGTCTTTATACGTTGACGCAAATAGGTACGTTTATAATAATTTAAAAATAAAGGTTCGCCAATTATATTCAAAAAAACATTAAAAATGGCGCAACAAAACAACTTTTTTATAAACTTAATATTAAATGAATGGAGTTCAACAAGAATGAATGGAATTATGATATACAGCTAATATAACTTTAAACATTAGTTATTTAGAAAACAATTTTTTTGATTTTTTAAAAATTGTTTTAGTTGTCTTTTTTATCAAATGTCGTGTTATGACTTGAAGCAAGAAAAGAAGCTTAAACTAACATATGCTTTTAAAATCAAGTGGTTCTATTTAATTACCAAGTTTTAATAAACCTTTTGCTGAGTAATTGCAATTACTAATGGTTAAAAATTTGCAGCATATCCCTAGAATAATTTATTTTTTAATGTTTTAATAAAGATCATTTCAGTGAATTTTGATGTTTTTTTATCCAGTGGAATTTAATTTTTTTTTTGTCGGTTACAAACATACTCCCGAAACGACTTGAAATTGCTTTGATGTTTGCGGCTCGATGAACTTCCATCTGTTTTATACTTCCATGATTGAACTTTTAACATTACGCTAAAAGGAGCCGAAAGAGTTTTTACAGAGTATAGCACTCGCAGTAATGAATATAGTAAATAAAACACTGTTGCGCCCATTAAAATACAACTAAGTGTCTCACCCCTGACTGACAACTTTGTCTCAGCATCGGTTGAAAAAATTACATGCCTTATTAAATGATTTTTTTTTCATCAAAACTCATATTTGTAAAAAGTTATGTGAAAGTTTATATAAAAACAGGTTTAAAAAGGATTAAATGATTTTTTAAAACGGTTTCCAAATTCAAAACTGTAAAACAAATAAAATAAAAAAAGATCTGCGTGACAAATAAACCCGGTTTCTTGTAAATGATACATTCCCTAAGCTTTTTATTTCATAGTGACTTCCGCCTTTAATGCACGCATTAAAGACGGAAGTCGCTTTGAAATCGTATCTACACAACCAGTTGCATATATTCAGCTAGATGTAAGATGTAACTCATAGAAATAGTTTCATAAACAACTCTCGTTTATAAATGTAAGTTGTTTATATAATTATATCTATATAATCTTTTGAAATCAGCAAATTATATTAACACATCCAGTTGCATTAATGCATTTATAAATGAATCCATTGGTGCTAAAAATACAATTGATAATCAGTCTTTCACTCTAAAGCACAGCCTTACACACAAACACACACACACACACACAAAATCAAAAAACGACTTAAGTATTTGTTTCTTTAAGCAATTAGGATTGCAACAGATTAGAATTAGTCTTTAGAAAATGTTATAAAACTTACTGCGCTCCTGCTACGCCGGATCATTGCACTCATCTTAGAAGAAAAATTGCAAAGTAAAGAGATACCAATATTATTTTCCAACTAAATATTCTCCACTGATCATTGTTGCAAAAGTTCTCACTACAGCATAAAACCTTAAAAAAATTGTTTTACTGAGAAAATAGTGTCATTGTAAGAAATACAAAGGCTATTTATAAATGATCACCTTGCAGGACTTTAAATCGTCACCCATCTTGTTTTGCGCATAAGTACAGTATGGTTGGTTGCACCCATATTCGTTTTTTGCACAAAATTGAGTAACTGTTTTAGCATCAAAAAGGTCAAGAGTTCGAAACTCCATTACCATTGTAACGCAAGTATACATTTTTGGACTACACGTGCTGATAGTTTTACTCCGTAATTTTATTGTTCTTGAAGCCATAAAAAGTGTACTACCATTGTAACATTGCAAGCATTGAACTAAATTATTTAGAATATAAATCTATAAAACAGATTTGTAATAAAGATATGGTTAAATATACTTGATTAGCTAAAATAATAGTATTTTCAATATTTGTATAAAGCTTTCCGGAAAAATTTGGTGATTGTTTACTCCAAACCGCGCTATCATGTAGGATTTGTTAAATGCTTATTCAACATATTAAACGCTCAACAAATATTTAAACAAAATGTTTTAATTTTTAAAAGTTTACTTTATTGTGGAAACAACATTTTAATAGACTCAAAATTAAAAACATGTTATCAGCCAACAATATTGAGCTTTATCCAGTTTATTGCAAATGTCCTTCTGAGTTGTTTACCTGAACAGTTAAAATCGACAATGCTGATACCAATAATAAGCAATAACTGCCTGTTAATTGCTTACACTATAAAGAAAAATTTAAAGTATTTACTGGCTGTAGAGGAAAAATATATGTGAATATGAAGGAATTACAACAACGAAATCCAGTTTTTTAAAATCTTAGCTACTAGTTTGTTTTCCATTACTAAAAAAATGTTGAGAACTTTAACTTGCATCTACAGTCAAGAAAATACTTGACATCAGTATAGAAATGGTTTTATCAAGAATCTTTAACTTGCAAAAAAATGGTGTTTGGTTTTAAATCATTTTTTGAATTTCGAATTTAACTTGTTAAATCTTTTCTTTCAAGAAGGTTTAACAGTCTTACAAGAGCAACACCATACGCTGCGACAATCTTTCTTAGCACTAACTTATAAATGTTGGGTTTATGATCAAAACAGCCATTTAACCTCGAAGATTAATACATAGAGTAAATCACAGATCTTTCAATTTTGTAATGCTATATTTTGTTTATTGTACTTTTTAACATAAATGTTTAAAAAAGTCCTAAATACAATTAAATACAGTTATACAAGAATTACTTACGATATAACATTGTTTTTATAATTTAATTTTTTGTTGCTTGTATTTAAATAAACAAATTAATTTTAAATTATTTTAAATAAACAAATTAATTTTAAATTATTTTAAATAAATGAATTAATTTTAAATTATTTTCTTTTATAATGCCAAACATTTTGATGTACTCAAGAGGCCGTAAAATCTCTTTACATCCTTAAATCTAGCGCAGAACGCATTTGCATTATATCTAGACATCATATTGACATTTCTAATACAAAAGTTATTTGTTAAAAATTATATTTTCGATACTCAATATTTTTCCTAATTTTTTATATCTTTTAATTAAAATCTTACCATTTACAATTAAAGAGAAGATGTTAATTGAAATGAAAATATTTGATTTTATAAACATTTTTATTATTTTTAACATTGTTCCATTAAAATGCTTTAGATGTAAAACCTCAAACAGAATCGGAAAAACAATTTTAAAAATATTTTTTCAAAGTTATTTTGTACAACTCTCACTAAATATCGTTTATTTTAATTAAATTATACTTATGTAAAACACTTAAAAAATAAACATGCGAAAAATTAAATCTCATTTGTAATTGTAAGTTTTTCAATAGATAATGAATCTATGAGCTTTTTTAATAGTGTCAACCTCAAAGGATTTCTTTAAAGTATCGGTTTTAAAAAACTAAAATAAATATGTCATTTACAAATAATAAAAGGAGGGGTCCTATTGTGTAAAACGGTTTGTATTTGTAAAAGGGTTTCTTTTGTGTAAAAGCGTTTCTATTGGGTAAAATGGTTTATATTGTACAAAAGCACCAGTAATAATACTACTTTTACAATAAAAAAAATTGAAGAACAGGAGATTGAAGTTTTTTTTATTATTTATAAAACATAATCAAATCATTTTACTTATGTTTTTTTTGTTAATATTTTTCGTAATAACTTTCTAGTAACCACCTTTAAGTTTATGTTACGGTTTTTCAATAGTTTTTTTTTTTTGTAAATAATTATTGTGCTTGATAAAATTAACTAAAATAAGCTGATTAGGACTGTTTTTATTTTTAAGGTCGTTTTAATGTTTTTAAGATAATAAAAATATATATATATTTGTTCTTATTTACTTAGAGTTTTCCCATAAATTACGTCGCGCAATTTCTGATCATTTTTGACCCCTCCCTCGCCTTTGTCACAACATCGCAACACTTTAGTAATAAATCCCGTATGAGTCGTCACAAAACCTCTAACTCTACTAACACCTCTCCCCTCCCCTCTTATAGCATGACGTAATTTTTGGACGATCCCTTAGTTGTTGCGTTACTTTGTCTTAATGCTTTTTTTTTTCGTTCCTGTTATATATTTAAGCTATTTTATGTTATAGCTTTGATATAAGACTTTAAAGTTCATTAATTTCAAAATTGTTTATAAGTTTCTAGCAATTATTTACTATCTTTATTGTCTTATTGCTAATTTTGTTTTAACTAATTTATTTGACGCATCATTTCTACAAGCAAGTTTGCCGAAGCAGAGA